CTGACCTCGGCCCCACACTCTGCCCCACCTGAGGACATGCCCTTATTCTATCATCCCAGACTGCAGCCACTACACCTACAACAATCTAAAGAAGACTCGCTAGTGCACAACGGACAACGAATTAAACTAGAAGGAAACAAGTAAAACATGAGGTACCAACTCCCGATAACAAAACCTGTGGCTGATTTGTTGTACTCGATGTAGTTGTACGCTCACGCACCACTTCCTACCGCCCTTTGCTGACACTCGCCCAGGTTGCTCTCCTTTGCCAGTGCTCGTGCGCCCAACTTGTCTCCAATCTTTCGAGAATTTCCTAAAAACACATAAAATACCACGACCCAAAAATCAGAAGGAGTTATCACCGCTACCACTGGTATAGCCCCAACAATATAAAATGTACAAAGAAAGGAGAAGAAGAAAACGAGAATATAAGGGGGTGGGTACAGATTTGGGAAGCAAAAGGGGTGGGGCAAGAAGACAAGTAGACAAGAAAGAAAGGAAAGTAATGGGGAAGGAGAAGAAAGCAGGAGAGAGAAAGAGAGGAAAAGAAGACATGGGATGGGGGTCTTACCTGAAAACCCAAGCAGATCGATTTAAATCTGACGAAAAATTATGTAATGGGCGTGAATGTGAAGCAAATACAACGAGCCAAAATTTTCTGGAGGGGGGGGGAATGTTAAACACAGCAGATCTGATATAATGACAAGGATGTACTTACGATTGAAACAAAACAAAAATGAAAGGAGCCGTCCAACCGATCGAAGCAAATGCGCTGGGTTACCGGAGCAAATGCAAATTTGAATCGTCAGAGAAAGATAACACACGAGTTCTTTAGGTGACGTGCAAGAGAATGACAAAGGGAAAAGGGGGACCAACGCGTCGACGGAAAAGTGAGTTTCCCGGCGAGTAGCGCGGCTGGCAGAGGCGTCGTGGTGCGGCTAAGTGATTGGTATTCCAAACTTGGATGGTAAACGGATAATTAAACCTCGAGATCCCCCCAAAGTCAAAATTGAATGACTAAAATATACCACAAAAGCTGAAAGACCATTTCATCCTTCATTTAAATACGATTTTTCTAATATTTCTGTGCAAAAAAGTAAAATTTTCTCATAATAAATTGAGTCCTTAATTTGTACTAATCTTTACATGAAAAAATTAAATTACAATGTATAATGTTTGAAGTATTCTACTATGAAACATGTGAGATCTTTTTGCATTCCCTTTTAAATTCATCTAATAATGGTGTTGAGACTCTTTTACTTCTTATCATTACCATACTTTTTAATTTGGTACTTTAATCAGAGAAAATGAAGAAACATTGTGTTAATATATCATTTATGTACTTTAATGAAAAGCAATTACAAAGACCCAAAGGTGTATAATATAAAAGAAAATTTGATGTTGTGTTGCTTCAGCTTATATGGCCACGGCTTGGGAATATATAGGCCGCTGAAGTAAAACTATTGATGTTTCCCCATTTCTTTATTATCGATTGCCAATTTGTCAATTTGAGATCAAAGAAGTTGGATTCAAAAGTTAGGATTTTGTTTGAAGATCTCCATAATTCTGTATTGCCTTTATAGCTTTTGTTCTCTTTCATGCTTCATTTATCTATGCATTGTTTATTTTGTTCTTTTCACCCGATAATTATAAAATATGTTCAAATGAGTATGTTTCCTATATTCTTCGCCAAAATTCTTACAAGTATCTCTTGCTAAGTGGTGTTTTGCAGGGATTGGACCTGGAGCTGAGAAACACCTGGAAAAAAGATTTATCAAGAATGATCATCAGTCTAAAATTTCAGTTTAACAAATTATGACAAAATATATAACAGTTAATAATTATTTCACATTTTGCTAATTAAGCTTGCACTTCCTAATCTTCAAGCTTTATTCTATATCTTATTGACATGTGTTTAATAATATTTCTCTGCTTTTAAAAAGTTTGTACTAATTGACATAGGATACATGTGCCATGCATGTGTCCAGAAACTAGTTTATATAAAAAAGGGTAATAGAAATGTGAGGTAACATCTCTCTTTATCCAAGAAACTTACTTGTTTTTTTTTTCCTTTTTTTTGTTGTTGTTTTCTCATTTTTCCCGGACTATTCAATTTAATTCTTATGTTTAGAAATCCAAAAGTCACAACTTTCTGTTCAATTTAATTTAATCGTCTCAATTTGTTCAATTTAATTCAATCATTGCAATTAATTAGGAATGCACAAAACATTTTTTAATTTTAAAAAGTTTACATTCATAACTCACACCTCTTCATTAAGGTTGTGACTTGTGACTTTTCAACTTTGTAACCTCCAAATATTTAATGTGTCAGCACTAAATTGTATATTTCGTTATCGAATAATATGGAAAGTAGCAACAATGAAATCCTTTTGCAGCATGTCGTGCTGCCCGAGTCAATCTCACTCTGATCGACATGACATGTTGGAAAAAAATTGGATGATTATGGAGAATAAAAGGTTTAGTTTGAAGCGTGTAAAGGACACTGTCCTTAAGGATAATTCGCCCACACCGTGATAAATAATATTAGGCGTATCCCACATGATTCAACAAGCTCTTCTAGTATAACTAGGAGCAAAAACAACAAAGATTTATAAGAAAAAAACTCAGCACCAAAGAAAGAAGAAGAAATTGTTTGTTATTTTCACACTTATCAATATTCGAAAAATTAATATTTGAAATAAGACCTTTAGAATGCATTTTCTTAATATAAGATTAACTAACATGTCTTAATCTAGCATGCCATAAATTAAAAGAATCAATCAAGCAAGCAGAAGTACTAGCATTTTCATTCATAACATTGAGTACAAATAAGTCATGGCTATAATAACCTTGCCAATAAAATTATTATTCTTGGTCAATACGACCATATAAGATTCAAAAGAAACTTTCACCCCCACTTTTCCTAATAATCCCACAGAGACCAAATTGGTTCGGATACTAGGAACATGAAACACGTCATTCAATGCCAAATTTTTGCCAGATGTGAGTTTGAGAAGAACTGTGCCTTTTCCAAGAACTTGAGTAGTTCTTGAGTCAGCAAGATAGACAACTTCTTCTCCCTCCTCAACTTGGGTGTAAGACACAAAGTCTTTTTTGTTAGCACATATGTGCCTAGTGGCACCAGAAGCTAACACCCAATCTTTCATATTGGCCACAAGGTTAACTTGGGAAACAACCGCAACAATTATATCATCCACTTTGGCTTTAGTCAAATTTACTTTAGCCTTAGTGGGATTGTCATTCCCAACCCTTTTTCGACATTGAACAACATAGTGGCCAGATTTGCCACACACAAAGCAGTTGTTTTTTTCCTTGAAGGTTTGATTGTTGGTTTTGGGCTTATAACCATTTTTTTCGTCATACCTGTTACTTGATTTTCTCTGATAGTTGTTGTCCTCCACAAGGATGCTTCTAGTTGAAATTTCTTTTCCTTTGTCAACAACAACATGCTTGCGGTTAAAATTATTTCCACCAAAAACCTCAATTTTTGAAACATCCAGAAAAGGTTTAACACATGTAATTGGTGATGGAACAACAACAGAAACAGTTGGTGCAGCAGGTGCAGTAGCATCAACAGCAACATTAGCAGTGTTATTCTCCATAATAACTACGTGGAAATATCCTTAAGATTGTGGAGAATATGGCGGAGTGATCTCGTGAATTATGCCTTCTTTCTCACAATAATCATTAAAAAAATAAATTCACCACCTCTATCGGATCTAACTCTTTTGATTTTCTTATCTAATTGATTTTCTACTTCAGATTTATAAATTAAAAACTTATCAAAAGCTTCATCTTTATTTCTCAACAAATAAACTTTTGTATATCTAGAAAAATCGTCTATAAAGGTCACATAATACTTTTTCCCTCCTCTAGTCATAGTTTGTTTCAAGTCTTCTAGATCAGTATGAACTAAACTTAATAATTCAGATTCTCTAAATACTGAAGCACATGATTTCTTAGTTTGTTTATCTTCTGCACACATGATTTCTTAGTTTGTTTAGTTTGTGTAGCGGAAAGGAAAAATAGGACCTTAAAGAAAATGATGAATAACATGATTGTTAGTTCTGGTGCTCCAGATATTCTTTGGGGTGAAGCCATTTTATCTTCTTGTCATTTACAAAATAGAATTCCTTATAAGAAAACGGGTAAAACTCCTTATGAGTTATGGAAAGGGTATCCACCTAATTTGAAATATTTGAAAGTGTGGGGGTGCATTGCTAAAGTTATGTTGCCTGATCCTAAGAAAAGAAAAATAGGATCTAAAACATCTGATTGTATGTTTATTGGGTATGCAAAAAACAGTGCATCATACAGATTTTTAATAATCAAAAGTGATGTACTTGAAAACAATACTATTGTTGAAACAAAAAATGCTGAATTTTTTGAAAATATTTTTCCATTAAAATTTGAGAAAATTTCTGATGCTTCTATTATTCCAACTGATAGTATTTCACATGTTCCAATTGTTCAAAATGATTTTGAAAGTGAACCAAGGAAAGAAAAATCTTTTGGTAATGATTTTTATACTTATCTTGTGGATAATGATCCTTTAACATATTCTGAAGCTATTTCTTCGTCTGATGTCTCATTTTGGAAAGAAGCTATTGATGTAGAATTAAATTCAATTTTACAAAATAAAACTTGGATTTTAGTTGATTTACCTCCAGGAGCTAAACCCATTGGTTGTAAATGGATTTTTAAGAAGAAACTCAATCCGGATGGTTCCATTGATAAATACAAAGCTAGACTTGTTGCAAAAGATTTTACCCAAAAGCAAAATATTAATTATTTTGACACTTATGCTCATGTAACTAGAATTTCCTCGATTCGTGTTTTACTTGTCTTGGCTTCTATTTATAAACTTTATATTCACCAAATGGATGTTAAAACTGCATTTTTAAATGGTGATTTGGAAGAAGAAATTTACATGGAACAACCTGAGGGTTGTATTGTGTCTGGGCAAGAAAACAAAGTATGTAAATTGCTAAAATCTTTGTATGTCCTAAAGCAAGCGCCTAAACAGTGGCATGAAAAATTTGATCAAATATTGATTAATGATGGTTTTTCATCAATTGAAGTAGATAAATATGTTTATACAAAATGTGTAGATGGTTCATGTGTTATTATTTGTCTTTATGTGGATGACATGCTTATTTTTAGTTCTAGCCTTGATTTGGTACATAAAGCCAAATTTTTCTTGTCTTCTAATTTTGAGATGAAAGACATGGGAAAAGCTAGTGTTATTTTAGGCATGAAAATTATAAGAGATGGCACTAGTTTGATGTTGACTCAAGAACATTATGTTGAGAGAATTCTTAAAAAGTTTGACAATTTTGATGTGGTACCTGTAAGCACTCCTTATGATGCTAGTAGTCAGTTAAAAAGGAATAAGGGAGATCCTGTTGATCAAAATAAATATGCTCAAATTATTGGTAGCCTAATGCATTTGATGAATTTCACTAGACCTGATATTGCATATGTTGTGTGTAGATTGAGTAGATATACTCAAAACCCAAGTCATGATCATTGGAATGCATTAGTAAGAGTAATGAAATATTTGAGAGGTACCATGAACTATGGTATTAAATATAGTGGATTTCCCACTGTACTAGAAGGATACAGTGATGTTAACTGGATCTCTGATTTAGACGAGACAAAATCCACTAGTGGTTATGTGTTCACCCTCGGTGGGGGTGTTGTGGCATAGAAATCAGCTAAACAAACAATAATAGCTAGATCTACCATGGACTCTGAGTTTGTGGCATTGGAATTGGCTGGCAATGAGGCCGAGTGGTTAAAGAGCCTTTTGGCAAGTATTCCGCTAGGAATAAAACCGACACCTTCTGTGTCGATGCATTATGATTGCCAAGCTGCAATAGCAATTGCCAAAAATAAATCCTTTAATGGGAAGAGTAGACATATCCGATTGAGACATGATGTGATAAAGCAGCTGCTGAGAGATGGAATTATTTCCATAGATTATGTGAAGTCAGAAGTGAATCTGGCCGATCCTCTGTCTAAACCTTTGGGAAGAAAATTAATATCTGAAATATTGAGGGGAATGAGAATTTTGCCAATTTGAGTTATATCAACTATGATGGTAACCCAACATATGTGATTGGAGATCCCATGAAGTAGGTTCATATGAGTAATAACAAGTCATTAGTTGATCAAATGTGCACTATTAAATTATATCCCTTCCTATGGTGTGTATGCGTATATAGTGCAAGACTGCAAGGAATGAAAGGCTGAGTTATTAAACTCTTAATCTAATAATCCATAGCCTTTATAGGTGGTGTATTATCCTGCAGAATACACTTGATGGATGGACCTATATGAGTGTGGAGTGGGGCCGCTCCTATAAAATTTGTGGCGAAATTTCTAGAGCACTCATGAAAACCAGGCGCGTGCATGGCCTATTAGCGCAAAACCGCGATAAACAACAAAGTGTGTGGGGGTATAATGTGATAGATAAGACACTAAACTTACAAAAGAATTCTTGGTTCATAGAAGTTTTAACTTCACCAGTTGTTCTGTAAGTTTAATCTTATTTTATCTAGGTCTGGTTCATAGTCCAAGAGACACCAGATTCGACGCATTATGCTCATTTGTGAAAATCCAGCAAATTATTTTATTATTTCATTATTTTTAATATTTTTTTTGAGATATGTGGGAGATTGATAGAAAAAATACTTTTGATATCTCAAAAAGAAATATTCTAAAACTATGTCTAGATTTATTTTCTTAATATTATATTAATAAGTCATTATTATAGTAATTATTTTAAAATATTTGTAACAGAAAATTTGTTAAATTTGAATTCAATTTGGGACAAAATAAATTAGACAGTGTCCTTGACACGCCTCAAGCTAAATATTATTCTCCATAATCCAATATTTTTCCAAAAGACCCAACTATTTTTACTTACTTCCGGTGAGCCAATCAAGTCCAACAAGAGCAAAATATGTTACGATGTTTTGGGTTGTTTGGTACGAAGGAAAATATTTTTTAATTTTTCCATGTTTTGTTGATTTAAATATTTTAGAAAATATTTTTCTTATGAACTCATTTTCCTCCGATTGCAGGAAAATATTTTCCTTATCAAGAGAAGGGAAACCATTTTCGAAAACTCCTTCCCCACCCTCACCAACCCACACCACCCTCTCTCCAAAAAAGGCATTTTTTTTCTTTTAAATTTCAGTTTTTTC